TTGTTGTTGTTCAGTCGTTTCCAGTGATTGATGGCCAACTTTTCACGACCCCCTGTGGAGTTTTCTTGGCAAAGGTACTGGAGCGGTTTGCCGTTTCCTTCACCAGCTCGTTTTACAGAGGAGGAAGCTGAGGCAAACAGTTAGGTGACTTGCCCAGGGTCACACAGCTACTAAGTATCTGAGGCCTGATTTGAACTCAAGGAAGATGAGTCTTCCTAACTCCAGGCCCCGAACTCTAGCCATAACACCAGCTAGCTGCCCAGTTATAGTTCCCAACATTCACCTATTACACTCCATCTATAGGTTTATTATTCTCACCCCAGTCCTTCCACACACACTTGCTTACTTAAATCCAACTTTTTTTTTATTTCAAGGCTCAAGTGGAATCACAGAATGTTAAGAGTTGCAAGAAACTGTAGAGAATCATCAAATCTCATTATCTCATTTCACAAATGAACACCCAGGACCTGCTTCCTCCAGGACACCTCTCCAGGCCATCCAGCCCTCCATCATCTCAGCCTTCCTTGAACTTCTTACTTACTGTCTATAGTCCTTATATGACACTTACCTTTTGTATTGCGGGCAACTAGATGGCACCGTAGTGCACAGAGCGCCAGGCCTGGAGTAAGGAACGCTCATCTTCCTGAGTTCAAATCCAGCCTCAGACAATTAATTACTAGCTGTGACCCTGGGCAAGTCACTTAACCCTGTTTGCCTCAGTTTCCTTATCTATAAGATGAACTGGAGAAGGAAATGGCAAACCTTATCTATAAGATGAACTGGAGAAGGAAATGGCAAACCAGTACCTCTGCCAAGAAAATCTGAAATGGGGTCACAAAAAGTTGGACACAACTGAACAACAATTTGTATTGCTATTTGTTGTCCATATATTTTGAAGTATCTTGAAGCTATGTTGCAGACAACATTATGCTGGCTTCCTTAAGCCCTGGAACACTGTAGCGCTTCCAAAATGAGACTCATAATCTTTCAGATTTTGGCATAATTATTCACACAGGGAAAAAACAAGTGGATGAGGAATGTCTATTGCCCAAACGACTATTTAGTTGGATGGACAACTCCATGGAGTTCGTTCATTGCTATACATGGCCTGGCACTGCAAATGAAGCATAAACTGACTGATCCCAGAACTGAACAGGAGAAAGAGGTTTCGTTGCCTCTGAGAAACTGCAGAGTTCTTCTGATGGCCCCAAACCTTTGTTTTTCCCTCAAAGGTTGAACACTGATATATTTCTGGTGTTATCCACAATCTCCCAATGGCAAAGGAATAATGCATGATGGGCATGAGTAGGCTTCAACAACATTACATATGAGGAATTGCGCAAGAGGAGAAGTGAAAGGGTGTCATCAGAGAAACTTATGACTGGAAAAAAAGATGAACAGGTCGTGTAGCAAGAGGGAAAGTTGGACAGTGCATAGGCTTCACTGGTATTCAAGCAACGTCAAGAGAACAAGAAAGCTCCCTCCACGATGAGTGGAACCCCCTATAGTGAATCTAGGAAGTACATGGACTAAACCAGGGGTGGGGAACCAGCCCACATGTGGCCTCGAGGCCGCAGGCTCCCCAGCCCCAGATTAGACTCTAGATTACAGTCACACTAGATGGTCCGGCATGAATGAATTGTTACGTGCATTATTGAAGGGAATATCTACATTGATGAGATACAGCCCTTCAGAGTCGTGGAGCACATTTTTTGAAGTATCCTCTGTGAATTCCACAAGCAAGTGGTTCCTCATTCATCTGTCATTCATCTGTACCCTCAGTGTATGTCAGTAAATGCTTATTGTTGATGATAATGGTGATGGATCTGAATTCTCAGACCAAGCCACCTCTGGGGCTTTCACAAGAACCCTGCAGAAGCATTATGGTGACATTTGCATAGCAGCTTATATGGATGAATATATTTTCCCCAAAGAGTATTACAGACCTTGGAGTTTCCAGGCTTCTATTCCCTATGCTTTTTTGATTGTTTTAACTCTGCCTTTGATTCTCACCCACTCAACCCACAAAGGAATGGGTTTCTGGGGCAATGTAGGGATTTCATGTAGATATTACAGAGAACTTTATGCCAGCCAGATTGTTATACCTCTTGTCTCCTTAGAGAGAGCTTGAAAGAGAGAGAGAGGGAGAAAATCAACTGCCTATAATGGTTTAAGAGAAGACCTACCAGGGACCCAAAGGCTGGGTGGCATAGCCTTGGGAGAGTCCCATCAGTTTCACAATTATCAAATATCACAATTCATTGACCCTTCTTCTAGTTGTACCTATATCACACCTGTTTCCTGGAAGGGGCAAATAGGGTAGGTGTAGTTGGGGAGGAATAGGCATATTACTGTCTCGGGGGCGATGGGGGGGAGTTTACGACTGGGTCCTTTTAAAATCTGGATAAATAAAAGGCTTGCAAAGTTTAAAATTACACTGAGACTTTTGAAACACCTTGTATAAAATGGGGCTTCATTCCTGGGCCGATTAAAACGAAGAGTTAAAAAAAACACACTGGGAAGAAAATGGAGAAAATCTTTCCTTTTTGCAATTTAAAGAAACCCATCCATCGACTACTTCAAAAGTGATCGACAGCTAGGTGCTTGAAGACCCTGGCTCCTATCCTTTCTCTGATTTCAGTAACCCTGAGGTTTGCTCCATGCTTCGGCTTCCCCCCCCCATCCCCAAAAGATACTTCCGTTAGATTTACGACAATAGCTTTGTAGGGCAGGGGATGCAATTCTAGCGGAATCCTGGAAATCAGCCCCCGACCCAAGATCAGAGGCTTCACTCCTCCAAGGAAACCGTTTCTCCTTCTTGGGACTAGAAAGGAAGGAGGCAGCTGAATGGACCCGTAGGGTGGAGCTGGTAGTGGTGGTGAAGTGTTCGTTGTTTTGGAGGAGGGAGGGGGCAGGGGAACTTTCCTTCTAGTTATCTTGGTCCTGAGGAACCTAGCAGAAATTCCCTCCTCTTATTTCTTTGCCCCTATAAAAGGGAGGAGGCAGGAGTGGGGGCGGCTGGCTCAGACTTCCAGCCCCGGCAGCAGTGGGGAGATCCCGGTGTCTGGGCTGCCTCGGCAGCGGCGGCGGATCCCCGGGGACTGCGGGGGGGAGCCCGAGCTGGCGGCGCCTGCTCACTTCGTGTTCACTGCGTCGGAGTCTCCCCCAGTCTGGCCGGGTGCCGAGCAGCTAGGGGAAGAGAGGACAGAAAGCGGTGGTGGAAGGCCTCTCTCGGCTCCCCCCGTCCGCCTCTCCTCCTTTCTCTGCTTCCCTTCTGGCCCCAGGAGACTGGAGTGACCGCTTCAATCGCCTAACCTCTGGACTCCTCTCACCAGAGATGGGAAGAGGGCAGCACTGAGTCGAAATGCCCCTGCATCCTCACCACTCCACCCCAGACCCCCCCCCCCAAATTGGGGCCACTAGACCGAGTCTCCGGGTTTCATACATCGCTGGGCGGTCCCGCCCCAGCTCTCTGCAGCATTTGTTTTCCCAAACATATCTAGACGTACCCCCCGACCCCATCCTCTTCCCCATTCCCGGGCCCGCCCCAGTGGCCAGTTTTTGGCTTGGACTATGGGGGAAACTTCCTCCACTCGGGTCCTCTCCCCCATCTCCCCAAGGCTCTGCCCTGGAGCTCCAAGGGAACCCGGTGGTGGAGGTGTTGGGGGGAGAAGAGAGGGAGTTGGCGACCCTTGGCCCTGAAAAACGGGATTCCCTTCAACCCTACACTATTCCCCAAACGGAAACACAACTCCCTGGCTTCGAGGGGGTTGGAAAGGGAGCTTCCAAGCCTTTTCTGCAGGAGGAGCTGGCGAAGTCCCAACAGCTGGAGGGGGTGGGTGGGTCTTAGGGTCCCCCAGGATCTTACAGTTTGATGTCCCAAGTAAGCCCCCTTCTAAAGGCTCCTAAAAGGCGGCTCAAGAAGGATTCCTGCCCCTGACCCAAGACCCGGCTCAAAACTCAAAAGGCTAACCTGGGGACAGTGCAGTACCTCCTGCCCGCCTCCTCTAACAGGTGCATAAAACGAGCTGCTCCCGCCCCTCCTATCCCACGGGGACTAGGGCTTAGAAGACTGCAAATGAGGTGGGGGCTGCATGCAGAAAAGGAATGGAGAAGCCCCAGACTCCGATTTCTTTCTTTTTTGCTCCAGAGGCAGCTCTTCTCCCACGGCCTGAAACCACGGGTGTCCTTGCCCCGCCCCTCCCGGCCACGGCCTCTGCCCCCTTCGCCCAGTCTACTCCTCCCCTCCCCGCTCGGCTCCCACGGTCCCAGGAGGTGGGCGGGTAAACCCGGGGATGACGGCTGAGCTCCCGAGCCCGGGCTCGCCCTCGCCCCCGCCCCAGGGACCGGGGTTTCCCAGCCTCCCCAGCCTAGGGCAATGCAGTCCCCGTGGGGAGATCGGCTGGAGCTGTCGGCCCCAGTGCCCCGGCATTCCTGCCCCCGCCCGCCGTCTCCCTTCCCCCCCACCCCCACCCCCGCTCGGGCTCCCCTCTCTCGGTACAGGCGGGGAGGGAGAAGAGAGGAGGAGGGAGGTAGCGAAGAGCAGGGGCCCGGAAACACCATATATGGAGCAGGAAGGATCCCCCGCCGGAACCGACCTTATTTGGGCAGTGCCTTATTTGGTGCGGCCCAATATGGCCCGGCTGCCCGGGGCTTCCGGCAGAGGAGGGGTGGGAGGGGGGAAGTGGGAGGAGGGAACCGAGGTCTGGGGGGTTGGGGAAAACACTGCCCTGGCGGGAGCCCCAGCAGGCCTGATTGAGCACCGGGGCCTCGAAGCTGGCCCCGGGAGTTCCTGGCTCAGGCTCGAGTCTCGGGATCCCCGGAGTCCAGGGGGCGAGGGAGAGCGGGGGGAGGGGAGGAGAGAGGGGAGGCCTCGCGTCACGTCGGGTCCTCCTGTCCCGCCCTGCCATATAAGGGCTTCCTGCTTCCCATATATAGCCATGTACGTCAGGAAGGGGGAGGAGCCTGACAACTCCAAACCCTTCAAATAGAGGCGGATCCGGGGGAGTTGCGAGAGATTCCAGGCAGCAGAAGTGGGGGAGCCGCCGCAGCCGTCGCCACCGCAGCAGCAGCAGCAACAAGCCGCCGCAGCCGCCGGGACCAGCCCCATCCTCCGCAAACAGCAGCAGCGCCACCTCCGCACTCAGCAGCCTGCGGGGGCAGAGCTCGGAGGAAGCCCCCTCCAAAAAAAAATTTATTTTTTGCCTCCTTATCATGCTCCACTGAACCCCGCATGTGAACTGCCCAGTCCCCGCACAAGTGCCCCTCCGGCCCTAACCCCGCGTCCGCCCCGTCCAGAATGGCTGCGGCCAAGGCAGAGATGCAGCTGATGTCCCCGCTGCAGATCTCCGATCCCTTCAGCTCATTCCCTCACTCCCCCACCATGGACAACTATCCTAAGCTGGAGGAGATGATGCTGCTGAGTTCGGGGGGGCCCCAGTTTCTTGGCGCCGCCGGCGGACCGCCTGAAGGCAGTGGTGGTGGGGGAGGTGGTGGAGGAGGCAGCAACAGCAGCAGCAGCACGGGTGGTTTCAATCCCCAAGGGGAAGCCAACGAGCAGCACTTCGAGCACCTGGCTGCAGGTAAGCAGTGGCCCAGAGCAATGGACTTCCTTCCCCTTTCCTCTTCCTCCCAGCCCCGGGTTCTTTGCTACTATTTGGGAGAAGGCACTTTCCTAGCCTTCCGAGATCAAACAAACAAAACCGAAATAAGGTCCCCATCTCATTTTCTCAGCCCCCAGGGGTTTGTGCCCAGGAGAGAGTTTGTCTGAGGAAGAAGCTATACCCCCCTACACCGCCTCTATGAGGCTAAGTACTGCCCTGGAACCGGGGCATGCCCGGTGGAGGATCCCTGGGCTGTTGTTTTGGCTGGAGATGTGCTGGGGTTGCGTGGGTGGGGGTGGAGGAGGACTTGTTTTGAGGAGGAAAAATGAGCTCTCTCTAGACAAGAGTCACCCCTCTGTCCCCTATAGTGATGGGCTAGGAAGGGGGAGAAGGGGGGAGGAGGGGTCCCGGTGTTGCTGGGGAGGCGGCAGGACTAGCCGGGAATCCCTTGCCTACTGTGATGCAGAGCGCTGGTAACTGCAGTAGAGGGGGGGATTCTCCATATTTGCGTCAGCTGTTGTTGAAATGGGCTCTGGTGCTGGAGCTCTTCCAGGAACATTGCAATCTGCTGCTATCAATTATTAACCAGCCCAGTAGTCAATGGCAGCAGCAGCAGCCAGTAGCAGCTCTTTACCTCTCCAAATAAGATCTTGCTCCAGTAACACGGGTTGTTCTTTCCTCCTCACTAGACACTTTTCCTGATATCCCACTGAACACGGAGAAGGTGCTATCGGAGACAAGCTATCCTAATCAGCCCACCCGGTTGCCCCCAATTACCTACACTGGCCGATTCTCCTTGGAGCCAGCCCCCAACAGTGGCAACACTCTCTGGCCAGAGCCGCTTTTCAGCCTGGTCAGTGGACTTGTGAGCATGAGTAACCCACCGGCCACCTCGTCAGCAGCTCCATCTCCAACAGCCTCCTCTGCCTCTTCCTCACAGAGTCCCCCACTGAGCTGTGCAGTGCAGTCCAGTGAGAGCAGCCCCATCTACTCAGCAGCTCCCACATTCCCCACTCCCAACCCTGAAATCTTTCCTGAGCCCCAAAGCCAGGCCTTCCCTAACTCTGCAGGCTCAGCTCTCCAGTACCCACCACCTGCTTATCCCACTTCCAAGGGCAGCTTCCAGGTGCCCATAATTCCAGACTATCTGTTCCCACAGCAGCAGGGTGAGTTGGGCTTGGTCCCACCAGACCAGAAACCCTTTCCAAGTTTGGAGAGCCGAGCCCAGCCTTCCCTCACCCCGCTCTCCACCATCAAGGCTTTTGCCACACAGACTGGCTCCCAAGATCTGAAGACCCTCAACACCACTTATCAATCTCAGCTTGTCAAGCCAAGTCGAATGCGCAAGTACCCTAACAGGCCCAGCAAGACCCCCCCCCACGAGCGCCCCTACGCCTGCCCGGTGGAGTCCTGTGACAGGCGCTTTTCTCGTTCCGATGAGCTGACTCGCCATATCCGAATCCACACAGGCCAGAAGCCCTTCCAGTGCCGCATCTGCATGCGAAATTTCAGCCGAAGTGACCACCTCACCACTCACATCCGTACTCACACGGGAGAGAAGCCCTTTGCCTGTGACATCTGTGGGAGAAAGTTTGCCAGGAGTGATGAGCGAAAGAGGCACACAAAGATTCACCTTCGACAGAAAGAAAAGAAAGCAGACAAGGGTGTCTCGGCCTCTGTGGCCTCCTCCTCCCTCTCTTCATACCCATCCCCTGTCACTACCTCCTACCCATCCCCTGCTACCACTTCCTACCCATCTCCAGTACCCACCTCCTATTCTTCTCCTGTGTCATCATCCTACCCCTCTCCAGTGCACAGTGGCTTCCCCTCACCCTCTGTGGCTACCACGTACTCCTCTGTCACCTCTGCCTTTCCACCCCAAGGCATTACCAGCTTCCCCTCCTCAGCCGTCACCAACTCCTTCAGCGCATCAACAGCGCTTTCGGACATGACGGCCACATTTTCTCCCAGGACAATTGAAATATGCTAAAAAAAAAATAACCAAAAAAACCCCTTCATGAGACTCAACTGGGACAGGAGGGGAAGATGGCCAGGTGGGGAAGGGGAGAGGAACTCTTATACCTTAAAGAGTTCTGACCCCCTTGTTCTCCAGTCCCCAAAGTATGAGTGGGGAATATTCACCAATAACCCTTTCTACCCTGTTTCCCATTTTCATCATCCCCTTATTACCCTTTGACTTCAGCTGCCTGAAACAAACCATGTCCAAGTTCTTCACCTTCTACTCAAAGGACTTGACCTGCATGGATTTTTGGATATATCATTTCAGTTTCATTTCCATCATTGCCCTCCCCATCCCTCCCTTTGATGCTAGAAGTTGGTAAGATAGGGAAACTGAGCTTTGAAGCTCAATCCCTTTCCTTTTTGCCCCTGTACAGTGTCTGTGCCATGGATTTTGTTTTTCTTGGGTACTCTTGATGTGAAGACAATTTGCATATTCATATTGTAATTATTTGGAGTTAAATGGGCCTCATTTTGTTTAAGGGGAAAAAAAAGCAAAGAAAAAAGTTGAGCAACAGTAATTTTTTTTGTGAGATGCTGTGATGATGAGTTTGAAGCTTCTTTTTGAAACAGCAATTTTTAGGTATTAATCAGCATGTGTCAGAGTGATGTTCCGTTTACTTTGTAAATATCAAACCAACTTGTACTCTCACATGTGGCAAAAAAAAAAGTTTTTTTTTTCCTTTGGAGGTTCCCCCCCCTTATTTTGTTTTCAAAGTTTCATGTTTGGTGCCTTTTTGTGTGAATGCCTCGCTGACGCCTTGACACGTACAGTTGTGTAGGAATGAGTATTATACCCACCTCTGGCCTTAATGGGGTGGGGAGGCAGGGAAAGATGATTCCAGGGAGGCTTTGGGAGCAAGAATGGGGAAAGAGGGCTGAGCTCCTTCATTTCTCTGGAATGTAAGCAGCAAAAAACAAAAACTAAACTAAATCTGAACTCTCAAAAGTCTATTTTTGTAACTGAAAATGTAAATTTATAAATACTATTCAGGAGTTGGAATGTTGTAGTTTACCTACTGAGTAGGCAGCGGATTTTTTGTATGTTATGAACATGCAGTTCATTATTTTGTGGTTTTATTTTTACTTTGTAAGTGTTTGCTTAAACAAAGTGACTGTTTGGCTTATAAAACACATTGAATGCGCTTTACTGCCAATGGGATATGTGGTGTAATATCCTTCAGAAAATTAAAAAGAAAATAAAGAACTGTGGTTGGATGCATTTTTCCCACGAGGAGGAGAGAATCTAAACAATGGTTCTAGTTGAGGGAGATTGGGGATTTCCTGAAGGCCCTAGGGGGAGGCCTTTTCTGACTGGGGGGTAGCCTGGGCTGGGGGGAAAGGGGGCGAAGATTACAATTTGTCTAGTTTATTCCCGCTTAGTCTACACTGTGACAAGGGGGATGTCCTTTGGGACTTGAAGACAGTGGTTCTTGTTAGCTTTAGCTGGGTCCCAGCCTGCTGCCAATCTCTGGGGAAAGCCCCTAGCACTCTTCCACTTGACTCCTGCCAAAAGTGGGGGGGGGATGTATCAGACTGGTAGAGTGTGAGGATGCTGTCCTTGAGGACTCAATGGGCCAGGTTTGTTGAGGTAGGGTCTGTGCCCTTCTCTCTGTTCACATGAGTTGTGGAAATTGGGTTCAAAGGAAATTACTACTGTCATGTTACCCCCTAGAAGATGTTTTTTAAAGGGATTGAGGGCATATGCTTTGGGATACAGCAAAACCAAGATCAAGGCCAGGCCTGGTCTGGATTTACCCACCTATTTCCCCCTGTTTCCTAGCCTGTCTGTCTAGGGTGGGAAAAATAGAAAGAGAAAACCAATTCTTAAGCCAAGAAGCCTTCCAGGAAGAAAAGCTTGTCCGTTTGCCAGCTGGAGCCAATACATACCCCTGGCAGTGACCAAGGGAGCAAGGCGCTGAGGCAAAGCATGTCAAGGTTGGTGTCAAGGGTCTCTGGCCAATGCCAGGACAATCTCTGGAATAGAGGAATATCTGCCACTCAATTCCCACCACCACCTCTTCCTTAGATATCTGCCACTTAATTCCCACTCCTACCTTCCACCTTTTCCTTAGAACGTACCTCAGCTCTGGAGCAGCAATTTTCGTAATGTTAAAGGAGTAAAGGAGAAAGTCAAGAAAGACTCTCATGGGGATGTTTACTAAGCCATTGTGTAGACAGCGCTAGTCCTGATTTATGACTAGCTTTCCATGAGTCATCAGTGACTATTATAGATGGAGGATGGGGAAAGGAAAGGTCCTCATTTTCCTCTTTCTTCCTATCCATTCTCTTCTTCCTTCCTTTCTCCTGCCTACCAAGACTGCCAGCCACAAGGCCCTGTGAGAAGAGTTCTTTGACAGCAACAATTGGATCAATGGGGCCTAAACAAATAGTATCCAACCCAGACTTTCTGCAAGCATCCAATTTTAGCCATATGGTCTTTTGTTTTCATTTTTGCCTTATCAGTTTTCTTTTTTATTTAGTGTTTTGCACTCTTGTCCTCTGCTTGAGCCCATTAGATGTTATTAGGCAAAAGTTCTGTTTCCTAAAATTCCAAACTTCCTCTGCTCGAGGTAATTGTGTGTGTGTGTGTGTGTGTGTGTGTGTGTGTGTGTGTGTGTGTGTGTTTGGAGGTTGACTGAGGAGGAGTGATTCCTTTGGGGGGAACAAACAAAATATGATAGCCTTGAGAGGAATAGACTAATGTTAATATAATACCATTCAAAGGGGCATGAAAAGCCCCTAAGCTTGGAGGGCTTTATTGTTGTTTTTTTGTTGTTTCTGACAAAAATTATTCTGAATGTAAATGGTCATTGGAAAGGGTCTCTTAAAAAGCATTTTGTCCCAGGGTTCCACCTATAAACCACAGCAGTGGACTCCACTAGGTACCCACCCACCTTCGAAGCTCTGTGTCTCCCACACCTGGATCAACTTTTAATATCCTTTCCTAGGCCTAAGGAATACAAGCTGCCCATTGTAAAAGCAAACATTTAGGAATGCCTCCCCACTCTCCTCTCAGGAGTCAAAGGATCATTAATTTGAACTAGAAAACATCAGAAGTCACAGGAATTAGAATTAGAAGGGAACACAGTCCCGACACACATACATACCTGTGAAAGAAATCTCCACTATAATATATAGTTGACAAATAAGCGGGTATCCAGCTTCTGCTTCGGAGACCTTCAATGAGAGGGAACACTGCCCTCTTACCTCTCAAGGAAGCACATTCCATTTTTGAAGAGCTGTATCTAATTAACATTAAACCTGAATTTACATCTTTAGGACTTCTACTCTGGGGCCAAGCAGAACAGGTCTAAGTAAGCAGGCCCACCAAATACTTACAATTATCTATTACATTCCCTTATTAAGTTACCCCAGTTCTTTCAGGCAATCTGGCTGTCTTTGAAAATGTGACATGGACTTCAAGGATGGAAGTTCTAGAACCAGCTTATGATCACTCTTTTTTTTTTATGATCACTCTTAAACTGCTGTGCTAACAGAATTTTAAAATAGTGCTCCAGATGTGGCCTAGGGCCAGAATGGATTATCACCTCTTTTATTCAGAGCTGTGGGTTGTCTTAACACAGTATACTAATCATGGTTAAACCATATCTTTTTGTCTGCCACATATGGTACCCTAAAATCCCCAGATCTTTTTCAGAAAAACTATATATGACACCTTATTATACTTACCAGTTTTTTGAACCTTGTATACTTTATTCAAGACTTTATAATTAGTCCCTACTAAATTTCATTATTAATCCAATCCAATGTCATCTAGCCTATAGATCTTTTTGAAAACTTGCTTGTCAATCCAGTATGTTAGCTATCCCTCTCAGCTTTTGTCCATTTGAAGAGGATGTCATCTAAATGCCTTGACAGCATTGTTAATTAAAGAACATCCTGGGGCCCAAGTACAAACAGATCTCTAGAGAGCTCCATTGGAGACCACTTCCTTCTAAGTTGACATTGCATAGAGTTGATCATTCAGCAAATTCAAACTGCACCTAACTGGTATTATAATCAGTGCATGCTTCTGCATTTTTCTATAAAAATTTCATGAGATCTTTTATCAAACAGAATGCTAAAAATCTATGGCATTCATTCCCTTGTGCCACCAGGTTAGTAACTTTGTCAAAGATAGAATTCTATATAGTCTGATATGACCTTTTTCTTGCTGAAGCCATGGCATTCCAGCTAAGACCTTTTCTAGATGTCCAGTGAACCATCTCTTTAATGAGCATTGCATTCTAAGATTTTCCCAGGAATCAAAATCAAGCTCACTGGCCTATATAGACTGTTAATATCTTACCCTGTTCTCTTCCCTGTTTTTAAAAATCAGGCCATTTTCACTTCTTTGGTCCCTCTCATATTTCCTTATAATCTTTCACATATGACAGAACAGTCTGGTTCAGTAGTTATATGTTCTTATCAGCAAATCAATTTATCAATATAATCAATTAATCATCAAGAATATATCAAGTTATCAGTAGGTTACTAAACAGAGTATCAAAGGAGGAATGATGTACATATATATAGTTTACCTAGAACAATTTTGTACTATCAGTTCTTTGAGCAATCTCTGAGCAAAATCTTGAATTTTATAGAGTTTTTAGCTTTTGATAATGATATTCTTCAAGAGAAGATGGACAGGCTGTAGGCTAGATAATAATACAAAGAGATAGATTCAGAGTTGGTTACAATGGCTGGACTCAGTATTGTCTTTAATGGTGTCAACTTGGAAGGAGGTAGTCCCCAATAGATATGTATCCCCAGGTACCTGGGCTTGCTCCTATGGATGTTTAAAACACTTTAATAATAATCTTGGTAGATGATTTGCATCTAAGTTGGGAAAGATAGCATACTCTGTTGGCAAAGTCAGGATCCAAAAAGATCTTGACAGGTTAGCATTGGGCAGAATATAGATGAAATCCTAATAAGTCTTGATAAATACATAAAAAGATAAAATGTGGGAGGGA